TATCAAGAAATAGGTAAAAAAAGTAAATGTTTGCTTCTCTACTATTTGGTATGTTATAAAGAAAGAGGATCTACATCAAATAACTTGCGCTCTGGACGCGCAAAGAAACTTTCACTGCGAATGAAGCGAAAAATCATAAGAGAAGCATCAAAAAATCCATTTGTTAGTGCAATTACTTTAGCCAATGATGTCGCTTCAACATCTGGAATTCAAATCTGTGCCCAAAGTGTTCGAAATGTCCTGCACGATGCACACATTTATGGGAGATCACCAAGGAAAAAAACCTCTCCTAACTGAACGAAACAGACTGAAGAGACTTGAATTCGCTAAGGAATATATCAATAAGCCAATCGATTTCTGGAAAAATGTCATATTCTCCGACGAGAGTGAGTTCAATATCTTTAAATCAGATGGCAGAAAATTAGTTTGGAGAAAACCTTGTGCTGGTTTTCTCCAAACTAATACCATTTTTGGTATTAGTTTGGAGACCATATTTGGTCCATGACCATGACCTGCATACCATTTTTGGTATGAAAAATACCAAAAATGTGTTACCTACAGTTAAACATGGAGGAGGTTCTGTTATGATTTGGGGGTGCATGGCTAGCAAAGGAATTGGTAATTTGTGTTTCATTGATGGGAATATGACAGCTCGAACCTATATTGATGTGTTGCGAGATAACTTGCCACAAAGTGCAATAAAATTGTGTATCAGTGTAATTCGTACTATTTTCAGCAAGACAATGAATCCCAAGCACACCGCAGGTACAACTCGTATGTGGTTGCTTTATAATGTACCCAGAAAACTTGCCTCTCCACCACCAATCACCAGACTTAAATCCTTTGGAAATCTTGTGGAATTCTTTGGATTTAAAAATAAGTAAAAAGGAAGATTTCAAGCAAATCTGCCCTTAAACTAAGCCCTTATTGAAGAGTGGTGACCGAATACTTGAGCCCTACTGTTACAGAAAATTTAATTAAATCAATGCCAGCAAGATTAGAAGCAGTAATAGATGCTAAAGGCATGCATACTAAGTATTAGTTATTTGAAATTTGCTTATATATTTTATTTCTTTGTATTCATGCAGGTGTGCAAATACTTTTTTGATACGAGATATTTTAATTTTGTTACAAAAAAGCATTTTTATTTATATTATTGTAATTTATCTGTTTGTTTTGGATGATTAAACTTATTCTGATTTGGCAATACCAATTTTTTTATTTCTTAATGCTTCTTTTTATGAATTGCAAACAAAAATGTAGGGTGTGCAAATACTTTTTTTACCCACTGTAAGTCGACGCCGATTACCGAATTTTGGAAATTTGTACTAGAATCGAAGTATCCTGAATTAAAAAAGGCTGCTTGTCGAATTATTTGAATATTCGGAACAACGTACTTATGTGAATCATTTTATTCCACTTTAAAATTCGTGAAATCCAAACAACGACCAGTATTAACTAACCAGCATCTCAAAGAATTACTGAGAAGTGCTGTCACCAATTATTCACCAAATTTTAAAGAATTATAAAGTGAAGTAAAATAAATGTCTTTAATTTTTAATATTTAAATTCAATAAAACATATTTTGTACTTTTATTTATATGCTTTCAATAATTATAATTTCTATAAAAAATTTTTAATACCTTTTTTTGCATACCTTTTAAATACGAATTTAATTGCGGCTCGCGAAAAATTTTAAATTTTGAAAAATGGCTCGGACTATCAAGGAGCTTGGCCACAATGGCATAGAGTATATTTAACAAAAGTTTTCTGCTGCTTTTTCTATTCAAAATGACAGATTCTTCTATATCTTTTAAATTATAGCTAAATATTGCTAATCAAAAATCGCGTAATTCGAAATTCGATCCAAAAAATAGCCACTGGTTTTTATTGGGGTATAACGAATCATCGCATTTCATTGTGCATTTTTTCATGGTATAGGTGGTAAGCACGTCCAGTTGGCAATTGCAAAATCCGTTTTCGAATCCCATAGCTGACTTTTCGTATAGCGAAGACAGAGTAAATTTTTCGTGTTTTCTGCTCTGTATGCTTTCGTAATGTAAGAGTGTCACACGCAAGTGAGAGCTTAAAGGTCAGTAGTTCGAATCCTGTCAAATGCATCGTTTTTTGTTTTTGTTTTGTTTTCTCCCTTGAAAAAAATCTAGTTTTTCGAGAAGAGGGTTTAAGTGCTGCATATTAAAGGGCGTTGAAATGGCTTACAAATTACTTAGATACACATGCTTTTAGTAATAAAACCAATAGTATACAATAGTGTATTTTACTGTTTATAATGCTTGTTTCGTTTATCATTTATATCTTAATTTACAAATAAATTTATCTCACATATTATTTTCTGTCTTTAGAAAATGCAGTATCGGAAGTATATGACCGTAATTTATATTTTCTATAAATTGAACACACGCAGACTTTTAAGGCAATAAAAAATTTAAAATATACGGATAAAAGGGAAAAGTATTTAACTCGTAATTTGCAACTTGTGGTAATGTGTGTGTGATTATGGCAAAGCCTCGAGGGCTATCTGCCTAAGGGGAGGGGATGCATTCCTGGAGGATTTTCTAAGGGAAACTGGCTCGTATATACGTTACACATGGCAAAAACCACGAAAACTCCATGTATCCAGCCTGTTCGCGGGATTCAAACCTCGGACCGAAGTACCAGTGTTCAGCGACTTTACCGCTCGGCCGCTGGTGGGCCTGCAACTTGTGGTAAATGCGAATGTCAAATTTAACAGAGTTGTCGAAAACAAGTCTAATCGAAAGCGTTTTTGAGTATAGACTGACAGGCTGGTATTTAAATTACACTTTTATCATTTGTTTCAGAACTAATTTAAATTTATTTTTCATTCTCTCTATTCGAAGTAGCAGCATGTTTGGGCGTTTTCACACGAAATATGCAATTGCATTGCTCAGATCCTTTTGTATAATTAGATTTATTTACTTGACTCATTTTCTTAACATTTCAAGCGGTGTTATTTAGATCGATGCCTATTTATTAGGAACTCTATCTCTTTTTTTAGAAGATACACGTTTCCTGGAGCTTAATCGGTTGAATAAAACCTTTCTCTATTCATCTATACATCATAAAATTATTCTGACAGGAAAATAAGTTTCCCGCTTTTCAAATATTAAAAAATTCATTACGATGCGATAATTACTTAGCCTGCTGAAATTAATAATTATAACACGATTTCAGCTTCGTCCACTGTTGAAGGTTTAAGCAGATTTTATTTTAAGATAATAAACACTCTGTTGTTCTTCCTGATTTGCATCTTTATAAGATATGCAGTCTACCGTATACACCCAATATATTCTGAAACGAATAGTACCAAAAAAGATGTATTAGAAGTGCCAATATAACACGATTATAAAAGTAAATTTAAAGCAAAACACATGAAGCACTTTCCGTTTCATAGCGTTCCATAGCGCACTTCCAAAATGCATTAGGACTCCTGTTGAACTATTCATCGCATTCAATTTCACCTATTATATTTCCTTTCTTATATTTCTATTCTGTGTAAAACCAAAATATAATATAAATTGATTTAATAAATGACAAACTGATAGTGCAGTGCGGTTGAGAGAACGTTTTCATTATATTCAATATTATATACGTGCATCTGCAAATTAGAAAGACGTATTATCTTACGAAATTTGACCCCCAATTATTGCATAAGTACACGAGATTATTGTCTGTCCATATATATATATATATATATATATATATCTACATATGTTTATACCTGCATGTGTACATCATTCCGAGTTTAAAGGTCGACATTAATAGCTTTAATAATTTCCAGTCTCAGTTTAATCTCCTATACTCTTTTCCTTAGGTATGTGTGTATTTAATTATGGCAAAGCACACGTGGGCTATCTGCCTAAGGGGAGGGATGCCTTCGTGGAGGACTTTCTAAGGGTGTGTGTGTGATTATAGCAAAGCCTCGAGGGCTATCTGCCTAAGAGGAAGGATGCCTTCGTGGAGGACTTTCTAAGGGAAAATGGCTCGTATACACGTTACACATGGGGAAAACCACGAAAACGCCCAAGCAGCCAGCCCGTTCGCGGGATTCGAACCTCGGACCGAACTACCAGTGTTCAGCGACTTTACCGCTCGGCCGCTGGTGGGCCTTTCCTTAGGTATGAGGCATATTATTGTGGCACATACCTGCTATGTTTCATAAATTTATATCAAGGTAATAATTTATCTGTTGTTTCTTACCTGTACATATACCTGTTGCTTTTTAGCTGAAGTTTATACATTTAACGATACTAAATATCATAGAATACATTTGTCGATTATGAGCTTACAATTGTTTAAAAATCATAGATGTTGGTAAATCTAATGAATAATAATAATCATGGTTTTATTCATATTACTTTCAATTATACTGCACTTCGTAGAAAGTAACCTCATCTAATCCACATGAACACGAAAAGCTTCTTTACATATTCACTGATATAGGATGTGATTGGTATTGCATGCATATATACAGGAAAAAAATAAAACTAATAATTATAATTTTAATTTGCTTTAGCTATACTTTTATATTGTAGTTTCACATTATATATATATACAAATTATTTCACTGCAGGTTTATGTCTATAATCATTCATGAAAAATAAATTTAAAAATTTAGATAGCTCAATAAAAATGCAGTACTTTCCCTTACTGTCTCAGATTAAATATAATAAATTCTTTAATAATATAAAAGTGCATGGTAATTTAAAAAAAAAATATATCATTCTGGGAAAAACCAAAATGAAATCTAACGAAAAATCAGGTCAAGACATAAATATACCGTATTACGAAGTATTAATTTCATATAAACTTCTAAAATATATTTATATAGTAAATCACTTAAAAATTTAAGAAATAAGTTTTTCAGCTTTCTATTTTGTGGTAAGAAAACGTTCACAAGGAGAAAATATCAATAAATAAGCCTTAACATATGTAAATATAACAATGAAAATGCGACTTACATTCATGATAATAACATGAAGCCAGCGATATCTTGAAAATCATAATACCTATAATAAACCATTTTATGGAAATTTCCATTCTACACTTTTACACTCATTTAATGAAAGTTATAGATAGCCTTAATCTTAATATGTACTTAATTAAGCAAATAAAAGAGGTTTTGCTAATTATAATTCAAAATTGCCTTAGATTATTTTAGAGTTACAAAGAATTTTTGAAACTCTTTATATCTTACGAATTTTAGCGAAAAGGCCAAACCAGTTGTGATTGGTTGAATTGTTATCTTATCCTGGCTATAAGAGAAAGGTTGGATAACTTTCCTGTTGTAGTTCTTAAATGCGAGTTTTATCGGCTAGAAGATACAAGGTCATGGTTGGATTAAAGTGTATTGCTGATATTTTTAATCGTGTAATTTCTCTCTAAAGATAACTTTGAATTAGTTATTGTTTGACGATGAAAATAATTATACAACTTTTATTATATTTTGCATTTCCTAAACGAATTTGGCTAATATTAATTGCTCAAATTTTCATCTAGAATCACTGTTAATTTTCAGTGATTCGCTTCCACTTATTTAGGTAACTTTTGAACGATGTCCTGTAAGTGACTTCCGATAATAACTGGAAAAACGTTTACGCATTTTTGGGCCTAAATAAAGCGTTAGATAAAAATGTCGAAAGGAAGATAGTGATATGGATATTGATATATGATAATGGAATTGAAGCTCATTATGCATTAAAAGACGGAAATATTTGCTTTTAAAGAAAAACGACTGTTTGGTTGTTTCCTGATGCATTTAACCTCGAAATCAAAGTTAAGCAAAATTTGAAACTTTCTGTTTGATAATAAATGTTACTTGTCAAATTTGCAACAAAAGCAGATAAGAGCATACGCGATATATATGTTAGCTCTAAATATATTTGTATGCTTGCGTGCAATTTTGAATTTTATTTTTTAAAGCTACCAATACATAAAAAACAAATATGAGTTTAGACTTTAAAATTAAAAGCCAAGGCTGAAATTATACTTATTTCCTTGAGATAAATGCAGCCTAATCGAAAAATCTGAAACTGGAAAAATGGAGTTGCGTCAAATTATCAATTAAGAGTTAATTAAAAGAATGCTAACTAATTAGAAATGTTTCCCTTGGTAAGTAGCGCACCAATAGCCAGTGGGTAGTACTAGGAGCTGTTTCATCCTAAGTTCGGCTTTCGGCGACTGGTTGGACTACGCGTTGAATTTCGTAAGGTTAACTTCATCGCTTAGAAAGAAGCTTCTCACGAAAATATATCTTCCTTTAACGAAAATACCTCGTCCTTATTGTGTCCTAATTAACTAAACCTAAGTAACTGATTGAAAGAAATAACCAGAATATTGATAAATTGAACACAAGCGGGTAGTTTATGAAAACCTTATTGAAGCACCATTAGGAAAATTATTAGCTGCGTTGCATTATTAGTTTGAGTTGCAAGACGTCGAAAAGCTATGGTAGTTTTCATGAGTTAATTAAATGGCTTAAAACGGTCAGAAAAAGGGCATTAAAGTAATTTTCGAAGGAAAATGAGGGAATGTTTACTTGATATAATAAATAATCACAAGGGAAATCCAGATCAGAGAGGAAAAATACAGAAAAGATGAGCCTGTTGTGCCAAGAAGATATGTTCCATAAATAATGAAAAATAATTCACAATGATGCAATCAAAAAGTCACTTAAATATGCATTTCTGCGTTTTCGTTAAAAATGGAACGAATCCTATTTTTTTTTTTTTTTTTTTTTCCGAATCTGAATCTTAAAAGGTTCTTGAAACTTTCGAATTGTGAAACTGTAGGATTGTTTAAATAAGAATAATAAAAAGAAGGAAAGAAAAAAGTTTCATCTAATATTCATAATTAAAACAAAGTTTGAAATCTACTTTTAGTGAAAAATAAATTTTAAAATACAGTTTTTAACAATACGCTTATTAAGAACACACAAGTGAGATTTTGTAAATAATGTATGCAACTAAATCTTTTGAGGTTAGGTTAGGTTATTTAATTACGGAAAAGCCATGAGGGCTATCTGCCTAAGGGGAAGGATGCCTTCGTGGAGGACTTTCTAAGGGAAACTGGCTTGTATGCACGTTACACATGGGGAAAACCAAGAAAACACCCTTGCAGCCAGCCCGTTCGTGGGATTCGAACCTCGGACCGAACTACCAGTGTTCAGCGACTTTACCGCTCGGCCGCTGGTGGGCCTCTAAATCTTTTGAATCTTGAAATTAATTTCCTTAGTATAATTCCATAAAAATACTTGACTAAGATTTCAACAATCGCGCTTGAGTAGTTCAATTGGTACGCAATTGACGTCATGTGGGCTACAGAATTCTTAAATCCCCGCATGAATTACTTAAAAATGTCCAAGATCTATTAATAGTAAATTATCTACATTAAACTATTATTAATGACCGGACAAAAGCGCAGACCCGTTTCACTGGAAGTGTCACTTTGATGTAGGCTCCATTAGTTGCCGCTAGCACAGCCTCTACTCTTCGAGAAAGATATTCCGCCAATTTTCCGTAAATTATATGCAAATATTTTCATCCACTTCTCCTGAAGCTTCACGAGCATTTCTGTGATAGCTTTGAGTTGGTTTGGTCTGGTTGCTAGCCAGAGATCTAGAAAATATTCGACTGAGCTTGAAATCACATTTATTTCCTCCAGCCACTTGGTTATGGCTTTTGTTAGGTAAATGGTAAAGGATCAGCTCCAAATTATTATTACAGGATAATCTACTTGGACATTCAAGGGTCTGAAGTGTAAAAACTGATACACCAAGACCAAATAAAGGAAACCTGACACATATTACAATTCCTCAACACATAAAATGATTTACCGCTCCACGTGATATTCTTCTGTTATTCTAGAATCCATAATAGACGTATTTTCCACCACTGTGATCGGAGGAAAGCAGGAGTTTAGTGAGAACCGGAAAACGTGCTGCAATTCGCACTCGAATACAAATGCAAACACATCTAGATAAATAATACAAGCACTGGCAATATTTTCGGATACCAAATAAAAGTCTATATGCATGATTTCCAATTAAGCTTGCCTATTTTACTGTGGTACATTCGGAGGCATCGTTGGTCCTATTTTTTCTACAGTTTTAGCTTTAATAGTTCAGGACTGGTATTTTGCAACTCTCTCATATTTCTATTTGTCCACTGCATAGCTCATTCTTATTTTTGGTATCTGAAGCTTGCCAGAAATCTCATGGTTGGAATCTCTGTGGACTCTGGTAATCGTACCCTTTTTAACCCCGCTCAAAGTACTTGCGTAACGGCTTTTGTGGTACATTTATTTTGACAGTTGCAGTTAGTATAGATTTCTATCGAGCACTTTGGGTCTTCGCATAGGCTTACAACATGTGTTAATGATGTAGAGATGATTCTAACTTCCCTTTGATGATGTCTAATCATTAAACGCTATAATAATGCATGTCCAGAACTGTCGCTTCAAAGACTAGTTTCAAGAATTTCCGAAAAAGCGTAGAATTCCAGTTATTTGAAAATTCCAGCCCATTCGTGGCCGAGAGATAAAATCGCTGAGCACTGGTATTTCGACTTAAGTTAATATCCCGAAAACGGGCTGGCTGCATGGGAAAGGTTTTCCACGTGTGTAACTTGAAAACTAGTCAGTTTTCTTTAAAATGTCCTCTAGAAAAGCATAGCTTCTTTTAGACAAATAGTCCTCGCACGCATTGTCTTAACCAAATAATCCAGTTTAACCTGACTTGAAAACTCCGGAAGATTTCCCAAGATGTTATAGTGAAAAGCCGTATGTGTAGCCATTTCGCTCGCTGACGTTAAAACGCGCCGATAAAAATATTTGAGCTAGCGTAAGTAGACATTTTTGTGTAGTTTCGGACTAAGTAACCTCGAATTTAAATTTGAACATATATTATTTTTGGGCGGAGGTTATTTTTACGCACAAGTGGTGTCTTCTTTTTAATTTAAAAATTTAATAAAATGCTATTTTCCACTTCTCTGTACTTTCCCATATGAATTCAGACGGAGCTACAATTCGCTTGCCAGTCTGAAGGATCTTGATTTAAATTTTTGCACAAAAAAAGGCTTACAATTTATACAGATCAATAAAATTAATTTTTTAAAATAATAATATAGACATTATATAGATATTTGAGTGAGAATATGTATGAACAACATGACAATTTCTAATTTATTTCTCATACTCGGACATCCAACACCTTAGCGGTTAGTTTCCATAAATTAAGGAATAATCACAAAACCATTGTAAACAACTACATGAAGGGGTATGTTGAAATCCGAAAAGTAATATATGGGTTACATCATGAGTTTTGAATGACATTAAAACTTTTTATAAAAGAAATATTGGTTGATCTTTACATTATGGTAACTTGGCGTTTTTTTGGCGAAAAGTTGGCGACCAACTCTCCTACAGAAACCCTCTATTTTTTTTTCCCGCCGCCATTTTGTCTTCACGAAGTAAAAGACATGTTTCTTTTCTTTTATCTACTGAACACTTCTCTTCCAACAATCTACTAGCCGAATTACACTTATGCTAGAAATTTTACCTAACAAAACTGCTTCTACTCATGACAAATATTCACTGCAAAATTGGGAAAAAAGTGCACAATACCATACTCCTTACGCGTTTTTCAAAATACACACATACACATAAACCATGTACAACACGCCGACTTATTTTTTACTTACTTAAAAAACATCCCAGAATTGCACAAAAAAAATGGCATTGCTCACACTCTTCACTATATCCATGTACACTGCTTTTTTCTCTCTCATAAATTAGAAAAATTTCACGAAAATACATGACAATTTTCTCAATCTTTAAACCCGTTTAAAACCCGGTAAAAGAAAACATATATGAAATTACCTGATCGCGAAAAAAGTATTTACCCTTTCCAAATACGAACATTTCCACATATAAAATAATAAAATATCCAAAAAACTTTACCTCTAAATCATCTATTACATTATACACGTCACCAACGAATTCATACCGCAAGCATTACAAATACTTAGTATCAAATATTTAAATTATTTCTATGCACGTTTACTTCAACTTAAACGTATACCAAATTCCTACAAACATAAAATTCACAAAATAATTATCATTTAATTAAAATATCACTAAACCATGTACACGCCGACTTATTTTTACTTAAAAAAACATCCCAGAATTGCACAAAAAATGGCATTGCGCACACTCTTCACTATATCCATGTACACTGCTTTTT